ATATAGTTTGCAGTGAGATTGATGTAGTTTCCGTCTAATTTCTGAAAGCTCAATGTGAGTTCATTGAACTTCCCGGTAATCATTGTTTTGAACTCACTCTCTGATAGTTGAGTTGCCTCTATTTCATTTAGTATTTTTCCTGAGGCTTCCTCGTTTCCTTTCAGTTGGGGGTTGTTTCTTTGTTTTCTCATTGTCCGTGTGTTTCTTCTTTTTTCTTCTTGTTTGTTAATTTGATCTGTTCTGATTCCCTGTAATTATGGTGTGAACTTCTGTGGTAGAATATTTGTGAGATTCAGTGGTGCAATCTCCTTCATGTATCCTGGTGTTCACAGCTTCCCCCTACTCTCTTGTTGGTTTCTAACTTGCCAGACCAGATTTTCTGATCTTGCTGGCTTCAGCTGGCTGAGGGACCTTTGAAATGCTTCTCTCTCTCCCAGCCCAGTTCTCAGCAAGTCTGTCAGGTACGCTGGGTGCTCCTGAGCACACTGGCTCTCTGGATCTCACTTCCACATTCTTTCAGACTCTGGGGTCCATCTGGTTTTTCCGTGATCGCAATAATTTTTGATGTCCTGCTTTCAAAAGTGATTCAGTAACCTAGTCCACTTGCTCTGTTTCTCCACCGATCCACGAGTTTCCCTCCTCTTCACAGAAGCTGAGAAAAACGCTGCCTAGAGTAAAGCCGCCATCTTCCCATCACCGAGAATTACTCTCCTTGCCTCTTAGAACTTAGGATTTCTGTGAGTTCTCTTAAAGGTTGAGACTAAAGATAAAAATATGGACTTGGAATAATATTGTGTAGAAGAAAAAAATTGAAATAATTTATTCTATTGGTTATCATTGGAAATGTCTTCTAGTTTTCAACTATTTGAACTTTTACATATACATACTTTTATTTAACCCATATATTTGGTAAAGATCTAATGTTTTCGAGTTAGTGCAATGACTTTTTCTTTATTTTTGTATTTTAGGGTATCAGAGTATATATTGAAAATGAGAATATGATAGCTAGTGATATTGCAATTCTCCTTATTTTAAAAGAGTCCCTATATTTTAAAATCACTCTTTTATGAAAACTTGCTAACAAGTTCCAAGATAAAACCTAGTGAATTTTTTTTTTATTCTAAACACTTTAGGCCAAGGATGTCAAACACATTTTCACCAGGGGCCACATCAGCCTTGTTGTTGCCTTCAAAGGGCCGAATATAATTTCAACTCCTTAACAGTTAAGGAGTAGTTATATTTATATAGTCCTAAAGTTATTTTGGCTCTTTGGCTGTGTTCCAGTAAAACTTTACTGACCAAAACAGGAAGTGGGCCAGACTTGGCCCATGAATCATAGTTGCACATGCTTTCTATCATATGAACAAAAGATGCATGTTTGTTATAATATTTTATGAATTGGAATGCTTTGATTCTGTAAATTTTATTAAAAATATGGTTTATTAATAACAATTTCTATTTTCAAGTACCTTGTTAAGTACTTTGTATACAGTGCTAATTCAATCCTCACATCATCAAAAAACTCCCAGTTGAGGAAGGTTGTAGGGTTCATTGTGGTGTCCATTCAAATACAGTTGTATTTATGAGGTGGCTGACCAAGTGCAGGCAGGTAACTTGGAGGTATAGTTATTGCAGACATGCAGCAAGCCCTCCCATTTGTGCCTAGGTTAGAAATAAATTCTACTTGACTCAGTAAAAAGCAGAAAGAGTCTAAACCTAGTATTTTAAGTCTGCTTATAAGAATAGGAAAATTTGAGATTTACTGTCCATATTGCTTTATAGAGTCTTTTGTCTCTGAGCATCTCTGTATACATGCTTATACTCCATGGACACTTATCTTGCTCCATTTTACTTACAAAAAAGGCACCTGATGCCATGTTTATAGACCCCAGAGAGGATTCTTCCCATTTCAGTGTGTACTATATAGAGTAACATGAAGGAAAACAGCCTGCAGTTAAGTGACCCCATTTGATAGGAAAGGCCAAAACTCTTCACCAGGGATTTTCTTATAGGTTCTGAGAAGAAAAACGATGACAGCATTTCTCATTTTATGTCCCAGGGCACCTGCTCTCACCTCCCATTTGGTCAGTTTGTGGTAGGGCTCAAATGTTAGGGTCCCATTGCACGATGGCATCTTCCTGTGTCAGTAGGACACCACTAGAGCACCATATCTTCATGCAGTCTGACAATATGATTCAGAGGAGGACAGAAACTAGTCAGTTACAGCTTCTCGTCGATATTTGTGTCTAGTATTTGTGAATTATTACAGTCTTTTACCCCAATTTGGGAATAACATATTGCACATTTTCTCTGTGGTTCCATCTGTACAGATTTGCTACAAATATATATACTTTTTAAAGGGACTATGGTAATATATGTTTATTATTTAACTTTATTCTGAAATATTTTTAAACTTAAAGAAAGTGACAAAATTAATAAAAAGAACTCCCTTATATCCTTATCCCAGATTTATTGTTTCCTTTTCTTTCTTTTACTCTATTTTTTCTTCCTGCCATTCTTTTCTCCCTTTCTCCTTCCTTTCTTCCTTTGCTGCATGTGTGTATATACATATATTTTTGAGCCATTTGAGAATATGCCACATTCATCTTTATGCCTAAACTCTTTAGTATACATATTAAGATCAAGGACATTATCTATATAACATCAGTAAATTATCAAAATATGTAACATCAATAAAATAATAATAGTGCCCCTATAAAATTGAGGTTCCCATTTAAAACTTTACCAATTAACCTTGATCACTTTTTAGGTGGCCTCACTCTGGTTTTTTAATCAAAAGTCACTAGTTTTTCTTTGATAAGTAATTTGTTAGGAAATGCTTTAAGAAAATGTAAATATTTTCATCCTAATCAAACTTTCACACATTGATTTTGCATTAAATGAATGTTTCTTACCTAAATTAATGATTTCTTTATGGTTGCAAGGTTATAATTTTCTAACCCCAATTTTTCATTAACAGTGAATTCTACTATAATAAGTCCCCTTTCTAATTAATTAGTTAATTGTCAGTATGGACTCATAAATTCTTTTTGTTTTCTCACCTCTTTTAAAAATTTATTAATGTAATATTGGTTGACAACACATACGGTAACTTCAGGAATACAACACTATGATTCTGTATTTGTATACTCTATTATGTGCCCACTGTTCAAAGTCTAATTTCTTCTTGACCCCCTTATTTTACTCAGTGAATCATAATGCATTACTATTGTTATTTTGGTGCTGAAATTGCCCATGATGTGGCCAGTGAGAACCCCTTCAAGCTAGCTCCTATATCCTTTTGACAGGTTGTCATTATCTTTTTTAGTACTTCCTTGCATTTTGACCTTCCAAGATGTCCCATGATTTTCTCCCTTGCCTCAGATCACAATCAACCACATGTCCTAGAAGACTTGATTTATTTTGGAGCAGACTAGTATTAGCAAACGTTAAGGTATGGGGGCTTAGCAAGCTCATTTAAGCTTTTTGGCTCTTTCAGAACTCCAGAATTTAAGATATAAATACAAAACATATATAGAAAATATACAGATATGTAGCTATATATTATAAGTCATGAATTTATGCTGTTATCTCTAATTTCAATCCAACACAGCAGGGCTCCTTTATGCCTTCTTGCTTTGCATAAATGTATCTTTCTTCTCTGACAGTTCTCCCTAGTTTCCTGTTTGTTTATTCATATAGTGATGCTGCATTGATTATATTGCTAATAAATATGTTAGCCTAGACAAGCAAAATAATGTGGGCATAGAAAAGGTAAAGTGTTTTGCTACTAAACACTGCTAACTGTCTGATGGGCTGAGCATGATCCTAAATGATTTACACACATTATTTAACATTTTCATCTTGTAGTCATCTTTAAAGTGGGGATGGTTATGGTCATTTTAAAGAAAAGGAAACTAAAGCTTAAAAGCTTGTCTACATATAGATATAGGTAACACATGAAAAATTTCTCTTAGATCCTTAAATACCATATATAGTTTTCACTCTGCTATTTAAATACATAACCAAAAATGTATTCATCATTGCTCCAGTTTTCTTCCCAAGGTGTCAAGAAAGGAATATGGGCCCAGAATTATTAGAATTTATGTAATATAACATCTAGTATATATCAACTTGCTTTTTACCTTTGCAACTTAACAGGATTAGAAAAAGAGAGCATTCTTTTTACCTAACAACTGATGTAACCAAATGGGACAGGGTCTCTCATAGGTATTTTATGTATCAATTACAGTTTACATTCACTATTATTTTGTATTAGTTTCGGGTGTACAGCATAGTAGTTAGATAGTCATATACTTTACAAAGTGTATTCCTGATATTTCCAGTACCCACCAGGCACCATACATACTTATTACAATTTTATTCACTTTATTCCCTATTTATATGTGAATCAAAAAATAAACAAACAAAAGTGAAACAGACTCACAGACACAGAAAACAGGCCGATGGTTTCCAGAGAAGAGGGGGTTTGGGGGACTGGGTGAAAAAGGTGAAGAGATTAAGAAATACAAATCAGTAGGTACAAAATAGTCTCATAGGTACTTACAGAGACAGGTTAGATCATTGGGAAACATGTTCCTGGGTAGTTATTTTCCTGAAATGGGGAGTTGCTGACAGAATCTACGTCTTCATTACTTGGTCAAGTGCACTAAAGGCCCTTAGGGTTAATGAGGTAAGATTCTGTTCAGATAGCTAGGAGAGTAGTAAGTGACAATTATAAAGTGAAGGGTCAAGTGCTTAGGTGAAGGATTGGGAAACCTGGTGTCAGGACTCTTGGCAAAGGGCAAAGATGGTCAAAATTCATCAAATGGAATAATTGATAGTGGGAAAAATAACATGGAGACAAAGGGAACTATAAACTCTCCAATTATATTTTCACTCTGAATGTTCCAGTGGTTGAAGGACTTGGATAAGGAGTAAATTTTAATGTAAATAACAATTTTAATGCCACTTACAATATTCATTTATTTATTTTCTAGCTAGTGAAAATGTCGTGATCCATCACTTGTTCCAGTCAAAACTGTCACAAACAGGATCCCTTCTATCTTCCTACCCTTCTTTTAAATTCAGAGGACATAAATCTGCCCTGCTCAGTAAGAAAATGACAGCTTCTTCAATTACCGGAGAAAACAGGAAGTATTTAGAACTTAGTAAGGTAGGAATTTTTGTGATTCTCATTTGGTTGTTTTTAAATTTGCTTAGAACATTTGCTTCTTTTTTTAAAAAGGCACAATTATCCATAATAATGGAAAGAAATCAATATTTTAATTTTAAAATTTTGAAGGGAAGGATGCCTACCTGAAGTATAACCATCAGAAAGAAGGAACAGTATAGAAAAGTACTATACACTAAAAATTCAATAGCAAATAGAGTATTAGCAGTTGTGTTGGTTGTCTGTGCAACATCCTATTTATGTTTCATCTCTATGATTGTCTTTGTGATTAACGGGAAGTAACTTAAAGGATGGTAGGCTTAGAGGGAATTAACTTAGCTAACTTATTCTTTTGGCATTAATTACTTGAGGGGTTTTAGGTCTCTAAACAATAAATTGTAGTTTCTTACAGACATAGTGTATTTTTCAGGTGCTAGAATGTTTAGTGGATATTTTGTAGATGTTTGACTTATTTTGTATTATACTTTTTTAAGTGTATATTTGTATCACACAAGTGTGGTTGTACTTACAACCTAATGGTTCTCACTATTTATGCAGTAGGACTAAAATTCAGAGAAGAACTAAAAATTCAGTGAAGAGATTTTTCAAACTGAAATGTTGTAAGTTTAAAATTCATTGTAGCCCAGTTTGTTTTGCTTGCTTCCACTGAAACCATAAAAGATGAGAAATATGATTGGGAAGGTGTCCAGTTCAGCCATTTTTAGATACTCAGTTGTGGCTTGCTGAAATGCATTTTAGCTTACCAATTAAAATGAAAGCATAATTAAAATCAGCTCTATTTTAGAAGAGTGGTAGAAATATGTATAACATATTAGAAGTAAGTCTGTGTGTGTGCATTTAGTTCATAGGCCTTTGATTTAAGGATTCCTTGGTATAGTTGTTGTAGCACTATATAATCACAGGACTTCCAGCTCACCAAATACAAAATATATCCTTTTCATTAAAAAGACAAAGGGTTGCCCTTTATAAGAAAGACCTTTTATCCTAAGGTTTTCAATGAACTTTCTGGCCCATCCTTTTTCAATCATCCTGAAAATCAAGAGCAAGAAATCATTACACAACCCTAAGCTGCAATTTTTAACCTTAATTATTAAACATTACCAGGCAAAGATGCCACTAGTCTTCTCCCTAAAGGACTGCAGAAGAGAGATAATTTACAGTAGCTCCTCCACCCTGAAAAGGGAATTTAGTGTTTGATTTCAAGAGATGGATATTTATTTATTGTGATCATTCCTTAAGTGTACCATTTCTTACTTCTCTTCAAACTGCCCTCATCCCTGCACATCCACCCCTATGGCTGGCAGGGTAAGAGTCTTCCTACTCTTTAACTGAGCATCACGCTTGGTTTTGTGTTTGTAGAAAAAGGTTGATTGCAAACCAGTCACTTCATTTTACAGTCCCTTGTCAGTTATAATTAATCATCTCTGTTTGACAGTTCATCCTAACGGAAGGAAAATAATTATTGCCATGGTAGCAATTGCACCAAATTGACAAGAATGCTTTATCAGAATTTTTTTTTCTATACAGGTCTTTTTATTTTAAGATAAATGACTTTGTATCAATAGATATGTTGGCCTAAGTCTGTGTGATTTTGTGAAATGTAAAGGTACATTAGTGGCTGAGGTTTCTTTTAACCCCTGGTGGACTTTAATTAATTACCTCAGCCCTTTATTTCTTCACTTCCACAGGCTTCATTTTAACTGATTTCTTCTATCTCCACTATCATTTATACTTTGCTGCACATATTTTTTTTCTTTTAAGAGGCATATTTAATTAATTATCAAAGAAAACAGTCTATTATCATTTTTCACAGCCAGGTAATTTACTAACCCCTCTTGGTAGTTTTAAAAAAATAAGAAAAGGAAAGGTAAGAAAAAATAGGTAAGAAACTAATCATAGTCAATCTTAAGGGAACAAGCCAATGATTATCAAAGTATCAAGCCTCTATAATACACAATAGTATTCTTTGCCCTAGAGTCAGCCACATTTCATGGTGCATATAGACTGTTAGTAGTACAACCAGTAAAAATACCAAGGTGAATTTACTATACCACCAAGCAAGTATGGATCCCTATTTATTTTCAAGTTAAAGTGAATGTAGGATGGCAACAGCCATGTACTTGAAAGTTTGGTGGTAATAGCTATTATTTTACATGTAGTTGGCCATTTCCCCAACTTTATGGTAATGTTACAGAAAATCATTTGGTACTGATTTTTACAGCCTGTTTTAAATCTATATCTGCCTGTAAGGGAATTTACATGGATGAGAGGCTTAATTTTTTTTCTTCTAAATCAGAGGTGTCAAACTCATTTTTACTGGGGGGCCACATCAGTCTGGCAGTTGCCTTCAAATGGCAGAAATAATTTTAGGACTGTGTAAATGTGGCTACTCTTCAACTGTTAAGGAGTTGAAGTTACATTTGTCCCTTTAAAGGCAACCACAAGGCTGATGTAGCCCCCCAGTGAAAATGAGTTTGACACCCCTGTTCTAAATGGAATTTAGTAAACTAAATTTTCTCACCCTTCCTTTCTTTTTGTTTTCTTTACAGTTATTAAAAAAGAAAGGAACTTCTACATTTCTTCAAAGACTGGAAAGAAGAGGTCCAGTTACTGTTGCATCTCAACTCAGGGTTAGTTATGTATTCTCATTCTAAAACTTAAATTTGGATTATATTTACTGTGTAGGGTTTACATAGAATTTTCCCCAATTTTTTTGACCACTGAGTACCTTCAGAAAAATTGAATATACACACAGAGTGAGTGAATGCATAATATTAAAAGTTTTGATTAAAGGTATTTTTATTTACAAGCTGCTTTATATTTTTAGTCAGTCTTCTTTGGAGAATCAATTTGGTTTTAATTCTCTCCTTAGAACTCTCTAATGGATATTATTGGAAAACTTCAGAAGTGCACTCTACACTTTATTCATTGCATCAAGCCCAATAACTCCCAGCTACCAGATACCTTTGATAATTTTTATGTGTCTGCTCAGCTACAATATATTGGTGTCCTGGAGATGGTGAAGATCATCCGATATGGATACCCTGTTCGCCTTTCCTTCTCAGATTGTCTGTCAAGGTAAATTTTGTTCTTGAAACATTATGTTCACTCTTCAGTGTAGCATACTGACAGTATTGCAACAAGCATCTTCGTTTTTTTCTTTATTATAGCATTGCTTTTATTGTTTATTTTCTTCTATCTCAAACAAACCAAATGGGGGAATAATGAAAGGCATAGACAAAGCTAATGTAAAAAGTCACTAAACTTAGACACCTTGGAAATCATTTTCATGTTCTCTTAAATTTGTGGATTTCCTCAGATTTAAAGATTTATAAAATTGTTGCATATAATGTTTATATAAAAGTTATTATTTAAAGGTAGAATGTATATATGTGATTATTTTTATATCTATAAACAAAACAATTTTTCAGATTAACGATGGCCAAACCACTTATTGACAAAATTCAGACCATCACCTATTTTTGTAAATAACATTTTTCATTAGAACACAGCCAATGGCAAAATAATGAGAATGTCTGTTTTTAAGTGGGCGGACAAAATGAAAATCAGAAAGTATGTGGGAACCCCCAAAATGGAATGTATTTATAAAACATTGTGTATTTGTTCTGACATGTTTAAACTTCACTCACCTCCAAAGTGCTTTTTTCATTTGATGCAATACACTTATTGAGACATATTTTCCACTACTCAAAACAGTTTTTTAACTCACTGATTTTGGTGCCTTTTAGTGCTTCTGCCATTTTTTATCTCACCTCATTCACATGGACAAAAAGTTTTGTTGGACAACTTTTTCATCCAGGGAAACAAAAAAAAAGTCACCAGGGTGCTATCAGGTGAATAGGCAGTGTGGTCCACAGAGATCATGCTGTTTTTGGTCAAAAACTGCTGAACACTCATTGCAGTGTGGGGAGGTGTGCTCATAAAACCCATCATGAAATGGGCAAACACATTGAAAGAGTTTTCCAACAAACATTCACTGAAGCTGAGCACAGCCTCTCACAAAATCACCAGCTGGTATACTAATACATATAGGTATTTTGAGCACTCACTTAGCTTGGGAAGCCTGTAATATAAGAAGATAATGCTGGGGCCTGTGGGAGGTCTCCTCTTGTATTCATTAATTCTATATAAAAGATGAAACTTTAAAATAACATTGACATAAAATAGTAATATAGATATTAGAAGACTAAAACATACCATTCATGGTTAAAAACTAACTATACAATATAGTATGTAAAATATTATTGGCAAATTTTTTATTTAAGAAATTTTAAGACTTTTGTTGACTAGAAGCCTGAAGAAGCTGCTAAACTTAAACCAATAAGTTGGAAATATTTAGTTCAGAACAAAGAACATAATATTTATGACTAAAATCCTATGTTCATTTTTAAACACTTGTCTTCCCATAAGAAAGAGTAGCATTTCATCATTGTGCATTTTGGTGAATTTCAGAAAGACACAAAGAAATAAATATCATATGAGTTTTCTTGAGCTATCTGTTTAAAAATGACTGATAGAATATCTTTAGAAGTGAAGATAAAATTGGCTACATATCATGATAAATTATTTGGAAAGTGAATATGTTTAAACTGCAGAATATATGTTTCAGATTCACAAGATATCTGTGGTTTTAAAACTTAAAATATGCTTACAAACACACTAATAGACTCTCCCCCCCTGTAGGGAAGAACTGCAGTATATTTCCCACACACAGTAGTTTGGGCTATTTGAAGTCATCGCTCCCACTGTTTAAGTACAAATAGTCTTTGGGTTAATGAGTTTAAAACCTTCCCCTATATAATAGATTCCCAAATTCACCCCAGACCTTCTGAATGGTAATCAATACAGAGTGAGATCCAAGGACTCTCCCACTTTGTCTTGTGGTGAAGGGTAAGGTGATATGTGCTAGTAGCATATAGTATCAAAGCATCACAGGCCTTGACAAATTGCAGTTTGGGCAGCAGTAGTAACTCCCTTCCCAAGCATTGTCATGACCAGCTGTTCCCCCAAATTATTTCCCATTAGAATCACTATAGGCTTATTAAAATGGATTCCACAGCAGCTCCCCCAGAGTTTCCCACTTAGTAGGGCTAGATAAGTCCAGTGAAATTAGTATTTCTAATAGTAATGTTGACATTGTTGGCATGTGGACAACTGCTTGAGAACCACTGGTCTAGAATACTTAGTCACTTAAGCACATGTATTTTATTTTATTTTTTCCCAGCCGGGGGGGAGGGGGGAAGTATCTGAATGCCATGATAATTAAAGTGAACTTGTTGAGAATGCAAAATCTCAATTATTTATTAAATTATTGAATTGAAATCTGCAAATTTGTGAAGATACCCAAGTGATCTATATGCACCTAGAGTTTGAGAAACACTGTTGATGGATTTCTATATTGGATATGAAACAGGATTAATCTCACTCTGTGAATAATTTTTTAAATCATATTTATTTTATTTTACTTGTTATTGTTGTTTAATTATAGTTGTCCCCATTTTTCCCCCATTACTCTCTCCTGCCCTACCCACCCTCTACCTCCCACATTCAATCCTTCCCCCCCACCCCATTGTCTTTGTCCATGGGTCCTTTATACATGTTCCTTGACTTGACCCTTCCCCTTCTTTCCCACATTATCCCCCTCCCCACTACCTTCTGGTCACTGTCAGTCTGTTCTTTATTTCTATGTCTCTGGTTTTGTTTTGCTTGAGTGTTTATTTTGTTGATTAGGTTCCACTTATAAGTGAGATCATATTGGTGTTTGTGTTTCACCGCCTGGCTTATTTCACTTAACATAATACTCTCCAGCTCCATCCATATTGTCCTGAAGGATAGGAGTTCCTTTTTTCATGCTGCTGCATAGTATTGTGAATCATTTATAAAAGTATATTGAGTTCATTTTGTATTTGTTTTGTTAGAGGGTCCTAGAATCATGGAATCCAAGAAGCTGTGCATAAATGGGCTCTCAGTGTTCCTCTAGTATAATCTTTGGTAGCTACATAATTTTTTTTTACTACTATTCTAGGAAGCAATCATTTGAATTGCCCTATTTTCCCAGAAAAGGGTGGAGAACATGGATGTGTGTGTGTTTCTGTGTGTACAATATTATATATAATAATGATTTGAAAATTATTTTTACCTTTACTTGATTAAATTTTTTCAAATATAGTTTGACATATATATTCTACCAGGATTAATTTCCATTAAAATAGCATATGCAATCAGTGTCTTTTAAAAGTAGGTTCAATATTTTACATGTAGGAATTTCTTGATATAAAATGACTTCCAGGCAGGGATCACCTCTTTTTCAGGCACAATTTCTTTTCAGGAATTGTAGGTGTTTAATCAATGTTTTCAGAGTGAACCTGATATTTGTGAGATTAATAGTTGTTCAATTTGAGGTAATGTTTCTACATAACAGAGACCATAGCCATACTTTGTTTGATTAAAAGAGTGGTACAAATGGGAAATGATACCTTTTGGTAAATCTTTGCATTTCTTTAACCAGGAAATGTGATGTCTATTAATTATCTTTATTTGCAATGGCATATCAGTAGAAATTGAATTATTAATTTATTTCAATGGAAATTTGTTATCATTTCTCTTAAATGAAGGATACTAGTTTAGAATCTGATCACAAAAAAATGCCAATCCATAGAGAGTATCAGTTTCTATAAAACTTGAATAAAACACAATCCAGATACTTTTACATCAAGAAATAACATAATTTAATATTTATTTGTAAAGCTCATCAGAACTTTGAAAGCCCCAGGCAATCAAGCATCATTATATTTTAAAAAGTTGACTTCTGGACAAGATGGAGGCATAGGTCCATATGCTTTGCCTCTTCAAACAAACAAAGGAAGGACAACAACAAATTTAAAAACAAAAAATAAAAAGAACTGCCAGAAAATCAAACTGTATGGAAGTCCAACAACTAAGGACTTAAAGAAGAAACATTCATCCAGACCAGTAGGAGGGTTGGAGCTGGGGAGCTGGGGTGGAGAGGACTCACAGCAAAGAAGCAACTTCGGGACTGGGGCAGGCAAGGCAGAAGCTAGCAGACTGGGCAGTCCCACATTTACATACTGATAAATGGAGAGGAACAACTGGGGAGTGAGACAGACAATGAAACCCAGGGTTCCAGTGCTGGGAAATAAGGCCTCAAAAAGCTCTAACTGAAAAAACCTGTGGGGATTGAGGCAGCAGGAGAAACTTCTAGCCTCACAGGAGAGTTCATTGGAGAGACTCATAGGGTACTAAAATGTACAAAAAAAAAAAAACACCTACCTGGGAATCAGCACCAGAAGGACCCAATTTGCTTGTGGGTAGCAGAGGAAGTGACTGAAAGCTTGCAGAGAGCTGAGCAAGTGGCATTGTTCCCTCTCAGACCCCTCCCCAACATAGAACCCCAGGACACAGCAAAGAGAGTTGCCCCATCCTGGAAAATACCTAAGGTTCTACCCCTTACTACATAACTGGTGTGCCAAGACAAAAACTTATGGCCCAAATGACAGAACAGTTCAAAGCTCCAGAAAAAATACAACTAAGTGATGAAGAGATAGCCAACGTGTCAGATACAGAGTTCAAAACACTGGTAATCAGGATGCTCAGGGAATTGGTTGAGTATGGTCCCAAAATAGAAAAAGTAAAGGCTATGGGAAGTGAAATAAAGAAAAATGTACAGGGAACCAAGAGTGAGGGGAAAGAAACAGGGACTGAAATCAATGATTTGGAGCAGAAGGAAGAAATAAACATTCAACCAGAACAGAATGAAGAAACAAGAATTCAAAAAAACGAGGAGAGGCTTAGGAACCTGTAGGACAATTTTAAATGTTTCAACATCCGAATCATGGGGGTGTCAAAAGAGAAGAGGAAGAGCAAGAAATTGAAAACTGATTTGAAAACATAATGATGGAGAACTTCCCTAATTTGTGAATGGAAAGAGACTTCCAGGAAGCCCAGGAAGATCAGAGAGTCCCAAGCAAGTTGTACCCAAGGAAACACACACACAGGCATATCATAATTACATTACCCAAGATGAGAGATAAGGAGAG